ATATGAGAGAATCACAATCTCTCAATAAAGGTATGCTCAAGGCTTATTGAATAAATTTAATATGGTTCAATATAATCCAGCAAGTACTCCTATGGAGTTTGGATTAAAGTTATCTAAGGAAAATAGAGATAAGGAAATAGATTCTAGCCTTTACAGAAGCCTAATTAGTTATGGAGTCACCCAAGTCAAGTTCTTGGGAAGGGGTGAAAAGGTTCTTAAAATATGTGAAAAAGTATTGTTTATACCAAGGCTATAGTGACATGACTTTGGAGGAACTATGAATGATGAAAAAAAAGTATAGCAGGGTATTATTTTTTTAGGATCTGGGGCTATATCTTGGCAATCCAAGAAACAAATTATGGTGCCCTTTTCAATAGCTGGCTGTCAAACTTTATGGCTAAGGTCCATATAGGGGAGTTGGAGCATTCACAGGTGAAAACTGCACAGGCCAGAAAAACGAAGACCGGTGGCGTGATCAAAGGACTCTGAGTTTTGTACAAGTGTCTCTGGTAACTAAGGGGCAACCTAGATCGAGATTTAACAACGAGTTTGGAAGAGACATGGTGAAGTAAAGATAGAGTTTTATGGGGCAAAGGAACAAATAGCAGACTGTTTTACCAAAGCTCTTCAGTTTGGAAACTTCAACATAATGAAGCATTGTTTGAAGGTCTATCCATGTCTAACTTAAGGAGGAATGTTAAAATTAAGTTAGACATTCAAACACCAAGTTAGTTATCTGACAGTTAAAGTTAGTTACTTTGGTGAACAGGTATGTCTATTAGTGAAAGGTTGTGTCTTTTGGCCTTAAGGGTATGACCCTTGGCTGTGTATATATATGTTGGATAATACCCACTGTACAATTGAGTTGTGTTAATAAGAAATTGACTGTCATAGCAAACTCCCCTTTTATGCATGTGTAGAAATTGCAGGAAAGTTTCTGCAGATTACTTTTGATCATTTCAAAACTTCGTATGTATATTAGATATTCTTCTGTTTGACTCCAACAATAACAAAGCTAGTGGAGAGGTTGTTATAATTCTAGAAGAAGAAGAAAGGTCGGAACTTCAACACGTGGATTCCAATAACGAAATAAATGAAAGGGATAATACGCTCTCCAGTTCAGATATATCTGAGCCACATTCTCCAACAAATTCATCAACATCAAGTACACCACCACGTGGTTACCATAAAGAGACTATCATACCCTTGAAGAACTTTATGAGAGAACACAAGAGGTTAGTAATGATAAATTGGTAGACTTTGCTTTGTTTGCATATGCAAACCCTATTGATTTTGGAACAACAAATAGAAGCAACAAATGGAGGATGGCCATGAACCAAGAAATGGATTTTATACTTACAAAAAATACTTGGGAACTAGTGGACCTTCCCACTGGGCACAAATCAATTGGAGTAAAATGGGTCTATAAGACCAAGTTAAACAAAGAGGGTGAGGTCGAGAAATACAAAGCTCGTCTTGTAGTGAAGAGATAAAAACAAAGATATGGGGTAGACTCCAAATCTACAATGAAGTTTTTGCTCCTGTAATCCGGTTAGAAACTATTCATTTAGTTGTGGCTTTGGCTGCACAAAACAGTTGGACGATTCACCAAATGTTAAATCGGCGTTCCTGAATAGGTATCTAAATGAGGAAGTATGCATAGATCAACCTCCTGGATTCGTGAAAAAGAATGAAGAAAATAAGGTGTGTCGTCTTAAGAAAGCTTTATATAGACTAAAACAAGCACCCCGTGCTTGGTATAGTCACATAGACACATATTTCATGGAGCATGACTTTAAAAATTCCCTTATGAGCACACCTTGTTCATCAAGAAACTCAAAGGTAAGTTTCTGTTCGTATGTTTATACATAGATGATCTCATTTTTACTGGAATTAGTGAGTGCTTGATAAAGGAGTTCAAGCAATCAATGAAGGCCGAATTCGAAATGACAGGTCGGGGAAATCTTCATTTCTTCTTGGGTATAGAGGTAAGACAAGGCATAGATAAGATCACAATATCGAGAAGAAATATGCATTAGAAATATTAAAGAGATTCAACATGGAAGGTGCTAAAGCTAATTCTATACCTATGAATTTGGTTTAAAACTAACCAAAGAATCATCAAAAGCAGCGGTGGTTTCAAGATTGTACAGAAGCCTTGTTGTCATTGGGAGGCTAGGAAAAACATTCTAAAGCATATCAAAGGAACTGCTGATTATGGCATTACTTATCAGAAAGTTAATGATTCAAGATTGATGGCATATTGTGACAGAAACTACAGAGGGGATATGGAGGACAACATAAGCACTACTGGATACGTATTAAGCATGGGATCGGGTGCCATCTCATGGAAATATAAGAAATAGAAAGTGGTCGCTCTATCTACGGCTGAAGCGGAGTATATGGCAATTTCGTTAGTAGGTTGTCAGGTAATCTGGATGAGAGGACTACTCAATGAACTGTTTCATTCTCAAGTACATCCTACTCTAATTCATTGTGATAGCAAGTCTCCAATCGCACTAACTCGAAATCCAGTTTTCCATGGCAAGAGTAAACATATACATATTAAGTACCACTATATACGTGAATTAGTAGGGCTTGGAGAAGTTGAAGTTGTTTTCTGCAAAACCACTAAAAAATGCCTGATACGTTTACCAAGGCATTAAAAGCCAGTGATTTTGCAAGGATGAAAGACAAGTTAGGAGTTCGCCAGGTCTATGACAGTTCTATGACAGTTATCCTATGACAGTTAGGGTGCGTTTGGTTTGAGGGATTTGGAGGGATTTGGATTTGAAATCCATTCCCTTCCCTTGTTTGGTTTGCTAAATGGGCTGGATTTTAAATCCAGTGTAGTTTTTAAAATCCCGTAAACAAGGGATTTTGAAATCCATTGTAAATGGGCTGGATTTTGAAATCCAAATCCGGGCTCCTCTTCCACGCTACTTCTTCTCGCACAAATTCCCCATTTGTCTTCCGTCTCCACCATCGTCGCCCACTGCTCTC